CATAAAAGGAAGATTAAACACACAGTGAAAATAACCCAAATTTGCTAACCCTAAATATGTGTAACATCCCAAAAGTCAAGACCAAAAATTTCATTTTTAGTTTAATAATTTATAAAACCAACAGTATAAAAACATCCATAAAACATCCCATGTCAAAACCAAAGTGTCAATAATCAAAACATGTTATCATAAAATAATATCAGAGTGCAATCCCAAAGATCTCATGTGCGGAAAACATAGTGTGATGCGCTGCGATCAAGCCGGCTCCTTTCCTTTGAAAACGAGTACCTGAAACCAAAACTGTAAACCGTAAGCACGATGCTTAGTGATTTCCCCCACCATACCACATACCATAAAACACACATACTGCCAAGCATATCCGGGTGCTGACCTACCCCTTCGGTATCTTTCAACCGGTATCAGGGGACTGTTTCACCCCTATCACTACCACATAATAACATAGCATAAAATACCTAAATATACTGTCAGACATATCTTGGTGCCCGACCTACCCCTTCAGTATCTTTCAACCGGTAACCGGGAGCTAACCTCCCCTTTGGTATCTTTCAACCGGTAACCGGGGACTATTTCATCCCTACCACTACCACATAATAACATAACATAACGTACTGCTAGGAATGCATGGGTTCTGACGACCCCTTCGGTATCTTTCAACCGGTATCCGATGACTATTTCACCCCTACTACTAACATGTAACACAGAGCATCCTAGCACACAAACATAACACATAATAGCATAACAGATAATTATCACAAAGACATCATATAACAAACAACTCCTACTAGTGGGCCGACATTGTGGCTTTAGACCCACTTCTACTGGAAGGTAACTCACCTCACACCGCTGAAATCCCGCCGACGAAACCCTGGCTGCTGGATGATAGATTCCCGAACTGTCAACATCAAAATAACACCCAATTAATAATTGGGTTCCAACACATATCCATAAGTCCATACTTAGGGTAAAAGGTTACTTTACCCCCATCATAGCTTGATTCAAGCCCAAGGCCCAATCCAAAGGCCCAAAAGTCAACTATGAGTCAAAGCCCAACATATGGCCCAATTTTCCAAATTGGGCCCAAACTTCTACATGGTCTTACCCCAAATCCCAACCATTTAGTCTAGTCTAAACATTTGGCATTTCTAATGGCCTAATATCTCATAATCATAAAGGCCCAATTATTCAATTTTCCAAATTGGGCCCGAACCTTACATATGGGCCTTACCCTAAAGCCCATCTAAATATTCTAGTCCATATGATTATTCTTGGATGGCCCACCAATAACCCAATCATCAAGGCCTAATAGAAAGGCCCAACTCAAGGCCCAAGTGAAATTAGGGGTTTCTCATAAAATGACAATTAGGGTTAAGTCTTTCTCACTTAATCCATTAAGGACTTAATCCATTAGGTTCATCACTCTATTAGATAAATCATATGGTGTGATTGGGTGTAATTCACCATTCCATTCCAATGGCCCAAAATGCGGGTCCCGATAAATCCAAACCAATAATTCCAAAATTAGGGTTTCCAACCCAATCACAACCTAATAGGCCCAAAAGCTAAGTCCTTAGATCCATTAGGGTTTCATTAGGCCCATTAGGGTTTCACTAGGCCCATTAGGGTTTCGCTAGTCGGGCACCACCTACTACCACCTCGCGTAGTAGTGGTCAACGGCAGCTCACGGCGGTGGCCACTACCTCACGGTGGTGGTTATGGTTTCTAGTCCATTTTGTCCAAGCATCCAAAAAGAAGCAACTAAACGCAAGCAAAAGCACACCACCACCCAACACGGCGGTTGGTGGCGGCAGCCACCACCCTACGGTGGTGGTTTTGAGTTTTATTTTCATTATTCCGACACTATTACAGTTTACAACACAAATCCTAGTAACACACACACTCACTAACATAAACACACACACACACAACCACCCTAGTGGTGGCTGGCGGTGGTACATGACGGCAGCCACCACCTCACGGTGGTGGTGGTGGCTGTTCTTGTTTTTCGACCAAGCAAATCACACACAACACACACTCAACAGAAATGCACACACACACACGTTATATGTTCATAAAACGACCCCATCCACCCATATGGTGGCGGATGGCGACGGCATCGGCTGTTTCACGATGGTAGCCACCACCTCACGGTGGGTGGCGGTGGTTTCTTTTGGTTCCCAATCAAGCAGCAACACACACAGCAAGCCCTGCTTCACAATTCTGGACGCAACCACCACTTGGTGGTCCATGACGACGGCAGCAGCAGTTCTAGCGGCCACATCGGTGGCTAACGGCGGCGGTTGGAGTCATCGGAACCACATCAACGAAAGGAAGAGAAGGAGTCGCCCTCTCTGATGGAATGAATGCCATAGTAACCTCCTTATCGTCCAACTGCGATTCCCAACTACTCTTCTCGTCGGAAATGACAGCAGCGGTAGCAGCAAGGCGGCAAGGTCCGACAGCGGTGGTTGCTAATGGTGAGTGATGAAGCAACAGCGCCTGGAGGCTGCCCTCCACTCATCGTCGATCTTCGATGTTGCCGATGACAAGGACGGCTCGATGGCGCTTGGTGGCCGAAGAACGAACGAGGTCAATGGTGGCGGCGGCCGGAAGGGGTGGAAGGTATAAGGAGGGTGACGGCTGAAGATGGTTTAGTTAGGGTTAGGGTTTGTATGGGTTATATACCCGAGCCTTACGAAACTTAATGCCATAATGTCAAGAATGGTCCCTCCGTCTCCCTTTTCTTTCAAAACAAATCCACAATTTACCCTTTTAACCCCAACCATCTAAAATCCCTTCAAATTAAGTCCGAAATTTACCCAACAGCCCCTCCTTGTATAAATTGTTTTCAATTGAAGTCCTTATGTTACCATTCAGCCCTTAAGCCTCCAAAATCTCTTCAAATTAAGTCCCAATAATTTACCAGGTAGTCCCTGCCTCCATAATTATTTACGAAACCAATCCGAAACTTACACTTTTAACCCATGACTTCTAAAATTGTGACAATTAGCTCCTCGAGACCAACACCTTGTTATATAATTATTGATTTTAGGGCTACTATTCATTCATTAATTAATTAATTTATTTATTTAATAAACGGGGTGTTACAATATGATTTCGAATATGATATCGATTTCAACTGGGTCTACACCACCATTTCTATTTTTTTCATTGTCTGTGAGTGTGTGTTTTTTAATTTTTCTAAAGCTATATACTACGATAGATCTTACACCATCATTTTCCGTCATTTTGTTCCTAGTCTTATCGATTGCAAAAGAAAAAAAAATCAATTTAAATCTGGTTTCTTTTGCAACCACTTGAAGCAGATTGTAGAGAATGAGGGGTAGGAGTAACACATGTAGGTATCACCAACACATGGAGGCAACGACAGCATGGATGATTTCTACAAACCCTTAAATCATCATCTCTGAAAAACACTCAAACTCTCATATCTGAAATATGATTTCTAGAAAACGATTTCTAAAAAAAGGATTCTTATGTGTATGTTCATCCCTGCAAACCCACATTCTTTTCTCCATCGAATCTGAAATCGATGTTTGTGTGTTTATCCACATAAACCCTTTGTTGTGTATGTGTTCATCCCTATAAACACATTGGCGGTAGAGTCCTTTAACCCACAATAAAGAAACCAAATTTACACCGGATTCAACTCGAAAATGAACACACCATGGATTTTTTTTACTAGATTGGGTGGAAGATGTGAAAATTTTGGGGTTGTTGAGGTTTTCAGTTGGGAAGAATAATAGTGGTGTGTGTGTGTGTAGCAAGAAACATGACAAAAGAAGAAGAAGGTGAAGTTGGGTCTAAACCCAATTAGAAACATCACTGTGACAATGGAATGGTATGAGATCGAAGATGCAAGGAATTTCAGAGGTGGTGTTTTTGATCTCCTAGTGCAATTTCAGAGGTGGCTTAAAGTCGATTTATGTTTTGGAGAGAAGATCAAATACATAGGAGAGAGAGAGAGAGAGAGAGAGAGAGAGAGATGCCGTTCTTTTATTTTTTTTTTATTTTTGAATTAATAAAGCATAGAATAAATATAAAAAAATACATAAAAGAAATTAAAAGAGCATAATAGTCTTTTCAACTTTGTCGTGGACTAAAATCATAGGAAAATTTTGATTTTGGAACTTCTATGCAAATTAGAAACTTTTTGGACAATATCCAAAGTTTTTTGAATAGCACAGACCAATCTTTCAGTTTTGTCTTTAATAAATTAAAAAAAAAATTATTTTATAGATTTAAGTGGCTTCTTCCTTGCATATTTTTTACCAAACACCGGAAGTCATGAGTTAAATTCAATTCTGGTCATATTACATGAAAACCCATTAATCAAACACCAATAAATAGTTTTCTTTTTATAAAAAAAATAGTTTGTAAGTTATTTTCGATTTATCAAACATAATAATAAAAAAATCTCAGAAAATAAACCTACTATTACTACAAACATACTCTAAAAATTTTCCCTCATCATTTTTAGACTATGATTAAGGTTTGGAGAGAGTTTTTACTTTTGAGAATTGATTTTATAAAATAAACAATTCTTCTATATCACATTCTTTATTATTTGTTCTCAACTGCTAATCTCTTCCATCATCGGGTTGGGTTTGTTTAAGTTGTCTAAGTTATTCGAAACAATGGGAAGGACATTAATTTCAAAGCCTAGTATTTGATATTTACCTAAACAAAAAGCGATCTCGTAATTTGACAGCATACAGAAACAAAGCTTATCCAGATATAATTATCGTATGATTTAAAACAAAAGTATCAATACACTATAACATAGATGTACAATAGACTTCAAATATGTTTATCACGATAAAAAGTAAGAAAACATATATCCGAACTACATAAACGTGTAGTTTTCATGAGATTTTTGCAAACAACTGTCTTGCCATTTAAAAAAACTACGTTCAGGTGCAATTTTGATAAAACAAGAACCAAAAATATATCAAAAAGAAACCCTAATATACCCAAATGATTAAATAACAATCCTCAAAAAGGAAGATTGAAAAAAACCTCCGATGGGTAGCCATAATTTGTACCAAAGGCTAAAAGTATTAAAATTAATTAGCCAATAAAGAACTCATTTTTCCTAGTGAAGAAAATATTGAAGTCCTAGCAGTTGAAGAACCCTTCTTGTTCTTGGCTATGGTGGCTTTTGGACTTAATCTTTGACTTTGACCATCTAAACCACCTCCATAGCTTTTCATTGACCTTCTTGATCTACAACAATACTTCCCTTTCTTTGCAAGATCTTCAATGCTTTGCACACTTGTTAGTGATGCAAATGATTCGGACTTCCCTTGATAAAACTTTGATATGCCCCTCCTACATAAAATACAAGTGATCATATAAGCAATCTAATCTTGTAACATTTGCATCGACGGATGTACTATACACCCCTTAGAACACCAAAGGATGAACTAGAACGATCTTTTCTTGATACCCAAGTCATAAAATTTTAAAAAAGATTGGAGTTACTTACTTAATAGGTAGTTGTGCCATGAGTTCAGATAGTTCGAACAAAGGACCACATGAAGATGAAGACGACGAAGATGATGAAGATGCATCATCTATCATTTCCGATGAAGAAGATGACTCGAAAGATAAATCCTCTGAATCCGATTCCATAAGGCCGTACTTGCAAACATCATCTTTAGCTTCCATTAAAACCCATTGAGCATCATTCTTTTTGAATCCCATATCTTGACACATCTTACTTTTCTCAATCTCACCCATCTTGTGCTATTATCAAATCTTGATAAAAAAAGATAGAAACCTTTTGGAAACAAGTTAGGAAGAGTATGAACTATGAAGCATAGGTTTATTGAAAATGGCATGTGTTTGAGGGAACATATATATAGAGGATATACGTGGCATAGATAAGGTATAAACTATAAAGTGTAAACCTTTTCTTTTGAATGTCGCTTTTTCAAGATCATAACAATTGTATAACTTTTATAACATGATGTACAAGTTATTCCGATACTATTTCAAATATAAAAACTTTAATTTGAAAATTATGATTATACTTCCTTTTGTATAGATAAGGTATACCAAGCCATATACAAAAACATATACATGTGAACACATAATAAACGTGGATTTTAAAAATATAACATAGAGATTGAAATAGTGAAAGGGCAAAAGTGGTAGATAATGTTGAATGGGTCCATGTTACTTGGTTTTATCCTTGGAGTTGCCACCCATACTTCGTGTATGGTTCAAATTTTTTTGTAAATGGTACTAGGAACTAGGAATAGGATAAGAATTCATCCATATCTAGTCACCAAACAAACCTTCCACTTATGGCCACTTTGGTCTCTTTCATGTGCACTTTTTTACACCCACACTTACCTTCACTTTTTCCCATTTCTCAAATTTCAACTACATTACCCAAGTCTTTGGGTTTTACACTTTCCACATATATATGACTACATGAGGGTGTTTTGGATTATTCTTTTAAAAACAGCTTATGTTTTTAAGTGTGCTTGCTAGTTTATACGGGATAAAAATAATTTTTAAAAATATATATATTTGAGTTAATTTATATGGTATCAAAACAAAATAAGTTAATAAATTTTATTTTAACGTTTAACGAATTTTGTTTGTATATATAAAATGACAGAAAAAAAAAACAATGTTAAAACTGTAAATTTGTATGCATACCGGTGATCATGAATAAATATAAACAAGGCAATGATCTATATGATTTTTAGGGTTAAAATATCAATAAAGAGTAAATTAGTTTCCAAGTATAATAAACACTTTCAAAGAAGTTATAATCACTTTTAAATCAGTTAGAAGGAAACAAATTATCATAAACCGGTTACTTAAGACAATAAATATTTTTTGTTCCTATGATGAGATTCTAGTAGTTGGAATACAAAATTTCACAAAAATAATTCAAGGTTAAATATATGTTACACCCAAAATATTGCTGGTGGTTCGAGATTTACCCTAACGTGATAGGGATTGGTACATGAAGGTTCAATGTTGGCTGTCCAAATGATGCAATTTATCATTTCTAAGCATTTTTTGATTCACTCAAGATGTTTTTTAACAATACCAAACCACAATAAGTTAACAAGCAATTTATGTGAGATATACACACATCCCATAAATAAATGTTTATACAGCAATCAAATAAAGCAAAATTAGTAACAAAATCACTAAATTTTATCTTGCTTTGTGACGACAATTTTCTATTCTTCATCAATTGTGCCGGAATGAATATGCCATGAAGTCATCGGCATAAATTAGATCCAATTCCAAAGTAGGAAAGGGAACAAAAACAGAAGAATACGTGAAAATGTATACAAAATACATGACAAGTGCATTAACACGATCTTTTGTTTTGTATTTGTTTTGTTACCATCCCAAATGATGAAATAATGTTTTTAATTATTTTATTTAACAATTTAAAATTATATTCATAGAAATCTCAGCCACATAAATTAATGGTTATAAATTGGCTAATAAATCTTAGTTTTATGTGGTTGTGAGTTGACATGGATGCAATTGCCTGGTCACCTGGTCACCTTGGTTCAAAGACTCATCTACGACTTTTGACTTGAGGTTTGGATCCATAATTATCATACTTTTAATCTATCATTCTTATATAAAATTTTTAATAATAATAAAAAAGCATGACATTATCATAATTATCATACTTTTTATTTGAAAATATTACCTTTAACTTGTTAAAAATGTTTGATCGTTTATAATATAGACAAAATTACATAAACGATACTTGTAGTTTAAAAATATCACAACTTCAGTTTTTGTAATTTTTTTTGGTGAACATTGCTTCGGTCGTTTCTAAAATTTGCATGGTTGGTCTCTAAGCCACAATATGATTTTTTTTGTCCTTCTTAATCTCCAGACCATCTTCACCCTTCAAAATAATCTCTCTCTCTCTCCTTGTATGTATTTTTCTCTCTAGTTTTTAAGGCTCTAGTAAAACATGAAACATAAACAAGGAGGGGTTTGATTTCTTTTAGACCCATCGATATACACCTACAATCGATTGAAGAAAGAAGAATCAAAACAAAAAAAAAACGAGCAACAAATGAAAGTTGTAACCCTGTTCGTCTTCAGTTTCGTATTTGTGACTGCTCACTCCTCTCTCTCTCCCTCTCTCTCTCTCTCTCTCTCCTCTCTATATATATATATATATATATATATATATATATATATATATATATATATATATATATATATATATATATATATATGAGAAAATCCAACGATAGTCCCCCTCCACCCCACACGATCTCCATCAAGACCATTTCTATTATTTCTGTCAAGACGACTACTATGATTCTAATGATAAATACTTCAAATCGATGGAATACACTAAATCAAATCGATCCATTTCTGGTGAGAAATGTTGTGATTTTTTTTGAACTTTAGGAGCTTCCATGGTTTTTTATCTAGTATATGAACTCTTTTTGTTCTTTTATGCTTTAATTCCCTTTTTCCCATGTGGGTTGAACATGATTTAGTACATCGGTGTTGAATACTTCAACGTTGTATTATTTTTTAAATCTGATCAACATGTGTTTGATGTTTTTCAATAATCATCTTTGATAGATTATGTAGAAACCCCATTAATTAGGGTTGCATGTATAGATATCAATATATAGGTAAACATACTATAAAGAACCCCAATTCTATATGCAATGAGATTAATAGAGAATTATAAATTAACACACCCCCATAGTTGGAATAGGAGGATCTCGAATGTTCAAACTAATTCTGAAATCCAAATATAACTGAGTAGGTAAGCCCTTAGTAAAAATGTTTGCATACTGATAAGCAAGAGGGACATGTAAAACACGCACATGACCAATCGCAACATGCACCCTAACAAAATGTAAATCTATTTCAATATGTTTGGTTCTTTGGTGTTGTATTAGGTTAGAAGCTAAATACATGGCACTGACATTGTCACAAAAGACAATAATGGCACACGAAAGAGGGAACTAAAGCTCGAGGAGAAGATTTCTAAGCCATGCAGTTTCTGCAACCACATTATTGGAATAAGAAGTCAACATCACAGTTGACTTTGTCAATTAGTAATGGTTGTAACAGATTCTGTTAGAGTTAGATGTAGCAGTTAGATTTCTCTCTCTTCTGTATATATATATATATATATATATATATATATATATATATATATATATATATATATATATATGTGTGTGTGTGTGTGTGTGTGTGTATTCATTGAATTATTGAAATAATGTAACGCCCCATTTCTGGTATGTAATTTTAATTAAAGTATCTCCATTTCTTAAGGGGTACTCGACGAGTCTGTAGCCCGACTCGTCGAGTAGAAGCGGGATGAGCTCGTGATTTAAGTTGGCTACTCGGCGAGTCCATATGTTGGGACTTGGCGAGTCTTCCTTTTCTGATGAAGCCCTAATTTCAAGGGTTTGTACCCTATTTAAACGTCATTATAGCCTCCCACCCCAGCCTCCAGCACCTTTAGAGCATTTCCCTTGTAAACCCTAGCCCCCATTGTTGAACTTGAGTGTGTTGTGCTAGTTTGGAAGCTTTGGAAGGGAAGGAAGGAAAGAAGGTCCATAGAAGAGAAAGGAGATCCAAGAGTTAGCTTCCATCTGTTTCCCATTCAGGTAATAAAGTTATTACCTTGTGTATTCCTCCATTAAACCCTCTTTTATGCTTGTTATGTCTTCTTTGGAGCCTTATATGATTCAAAACTTGAGATATGGACTCTCCTTTGGATGGAAACCTTAGATCCGGACGTTATTGAACTCCAGGAGCTCATTATAGCCACCTTTATGCAATCTTGGCCTTGTTCCAAACCCTAAGAGCCTAGTATTTGATGATTTTGGGTATTTTAGCCTCATACCCTTGTGCATGCACGTAAAGTTGGAAACTTTACGTGTAAAACCAGTCCTAGAAGCTCAGATCTATGATTTGGAAGCACTGAAATAGATTAGAATCGACTGTATAGTAATAGCATGCTTGGGACTCGACGAGTTGTTCTTCAAATCGGCGAGTTGTTCTTCAGACTCGATGAGTTGTTCTTCAGACTCGATGAGTTGTTCATACGACTCAGCGAGCCACATACTGGACGTGTTCATATGATGAAGGAGAACTCGACGAGTTGTTCATACAACTCGGCGAGTCGGATGAAGTTAGACTCGATGTTAGTATCGAAGAAGAACTCGTCGAGTCTTTGCCAAACTCGACGAGTAGAAGCGAGTAAAGGACTAGAATGGATGAAAGGGACTCGGCGAGTTGGCGGCCCAACTCGGCGAGTTGGCGGCCCAACTCGGCGAGTCCGGTCAACTGGAAGTTGACTTTGACCAGGGGTAAAATAGTCATTTTACCCTGAGATTAGTTATCAGTATTTGATTTAGTGTTTATGGGATTTGTAGCCGGGGAGTTCCGGAGCAGCAGTCAGACAGTCTCAGATTTAGCACCTCAACAGCCAGCGTTACGAGGTGAGTTTCCTTCCAGTAGGAACGGGTCTACGGCCACAATGCCGGCCCGTTTAGATAGCAGTAGTTCCGGACTTTGGTCCGATGCAGTAGTACAGTATGCTTGATGTCTTTGTGATTCATGCATGTTTATGTGTTAGTTAGTCCGGACCTCGGTCCGATGCAGTATGCAGTATATGTGTTTATGCTAGTAGTTATGATTATGTTATGCTATGTCAGTTAGTCCGGACTTCGGTCCAATACAGGGGGCAAGGCCCCAGTTAGTCCGGACTTCGGTCCGATGCAGGGGGCAAGGCCCCAGTTAGTCCGGATTTCGGTCCGATGCAGGGGGCAAGGCCCCAGTTAGTCCGG